TTTGGCCTGGTAATAAGAGTGCTTGAATTTCAGGCCAATTTGGATTGCAAGTCATTGTGATAAATAGATCTGGCCTTCCAAAAGTGCGGAGTAGAGCCATTGCATCTTGATATCTTTGAATCATATCTCGAGGGCTTCCAATGAATGTGGCTGGGAGTACTATCCTATAATCAATGTCTTTAGGGTTACTATCTCCATGAAGAACAGCATCTTGAATGCCTTAATATAAATCACTTCAAATTTTCTTTTGATTTTGTCTATGGAAATTTAATTGATTTGATTCAATCTTAACATACATGTCTACTACGTACTGCTGAAAGAGTCATCCAGCTCACAAAATTAAATTGATATTATTAGGACGAATCTGTATTTGGTAAGCATAATACTCCATTGCGCTGATAAACATTCTATTTTGTGGATTAACATTATCTCCAGCATCGCTTTGTTGATATCCTTCAGCATCAATATCTATGGAAACATCACAATCGTTATTTGACATCAGTTGGAAAGGATGTCCTTTATAAGGGATTTGGCGAAAAGTCCATCCTTGCTCTCCGTAAGGAAAAAAGAGAGGGTATACTAAAGGATCATAACATCTGGTGAACTCTGAGATTCGAACTAATTTATCCATTTTCGTGTGTAGAATAATATTCCGCCTCTGAGGGATTTCAGAGACTGTATCTTCATTAATCCAGATCGCGGCAACTTGTGGAACAGTTGAAGCATTATGAGTTCTTTGATCTAATCCGCGAATGTTAATGTGAATCATGAGTCGTAGATTAGCAATATTTTTCTTAGGCAGCTCTGAGATATAACGAAGATGAGAAACATAAGGATTTAACTCGTTAAGCATGGTTTTCAATTCATGAACAATAGCATGGTTAAGCTGGAAATTCAGAATGGCATTCATTCGATGGTGTAATTCGTGTTTAGTGTCCCAAATGTACATCTGGAGGTAGCGGGGTTCTGAGTTAAGGTTTGGAAGCAATGATCCGATATGGTGATAGAAAGAACCTTGAACACGAAATGTGTACACTCCAGCCCCAGCATTAGCCAATTCATGATCAAAACGTATGCCAACGGAAGCAAACGCAAATGCAGAATTATAAATGCAAATATTATCATGAAAATGTTTCGAAATGTCGTCCTGTCCATAGAAGAGCCATTGAAGTAATGGAGGGATGTGTCGTTCTGCTAAAACTATCTTACCGTTTCTGCAACACATTCCTGGGCTCTCATTAGGGAACTTGAGCACATTACAGTAACTACAATGAGAATAATTGTTAGAGTGAATCTTATGGAGAATAGGATGGTTATCATTATTCGTATTTTCAGAGAAATTGCGGGTTAAATTAAGAAATCGAGGTTTAAGTTGACATTGGCGATGATCAGTAGCATTCCTTTACGTCTACTATTACGTTGTTCTTCAGTTTCTCCTGCACGATGGCATCGTTGAGCGTTAGCATTTTGTCTCATTCGTCTTTGACGCTTGTGAGCCGCATCGGTTATTCCATGTTTTTTGTTCGTAGGACTCTGGTGGGTATGATGCATAATGATAGAGTAGAAGATGTGATTAGTATGTGAAAAGGGTATAAGGATAGTTTGATTATAATAGAAGGATAGTTACGCAAATAAATGACTTATTGATAGGGATACTGAAAATTTTAGTTTTATGTGGGACTTTGGTTGGTACGATAAATATTCTTGGTTAAACACCTTTATTGATTGGTAAGATAAATAGTCATAATTAATGCATATTTAAATTTATTAGTACTAAATCAAATTAACAATGTATGTTTAAATTTTATTTAGAGTTTGATTCCAGTTTATCAAAAAAACGATCCTGTACTAATTGAAATTATCAAATTAACAGAATTGTTTAGTACTAAATCAAATTAACAATGTATGTTTCAATTTTATTTAATAATTAACACATGTTTAAATTTATTAATTATTTAGTACTAATTAAAATTATCAAATTAACAGAATTGTTTAGTACTAAATCAAATTAACAATGTATGTTTCAATTTTATTTAGAGTTCAATTCCGGTTTATCAAAAAAACAATCCAGTACTAATTGAAATTATTAAATTGACAATAATTATTTGGTATCAATAAGTCAATTTTAGTTTGGGGCGGCCTCATGATCAAAAATACGATCTAGTAGTAGCTCGGACAGAATTTTTACATAATGAGCATTTAGGGCACGACATGTGCATTATCTAAAGTCAGATTAGTTAATACTGGTAGACTATATGGAAAGACACATGTATAAGCGTAATTATAATAAGCAGAGCAGTTTAGAACTGATAGAATATAATATGTAATAGACATTTTATTTTATTGTGGTATATATAGTATGAGTCATAAATTTTTGGAATTGGTTTTTTTAATATAATTTTTTTAATAACTATTTAAATATTATGAAAATTT